AAAATGTCGTATTTGAGGGTTGTCAAACAAAAAAAGGATTAAGTCGCATCTTGAAGGTAATGCTAGGTTTTCCATCGTTAGACAAAGGGTTTGCTCTATCTCTCCAGACAGGTTAAACCCAAGTTCCTAAAGCCATTGCTGCCTTTCCCTTTCTGTCTCCAGCTGTACAGATGAATCACTCGGGAAGCAATTCCAGGCTCCCTGCCACTTATACACTGGCAGATTAAGCTGGCAGTGACTTGGGGCAGCCCTGTGTGGGAGGAGGTAACTGGGGCTGATGAGCAGCTGCTCCGCATCACGTGCAGCTTCCCCTGTTGCCGAAATGTGTCCTCCAGAGAAAGCCTCGCGGGCTGGGGCTGCTTCAGGCAGTGCTGGGGCCTGGCATCTGCAGCTGAGGAAGTGCTGCACAGGAAGCGGGCTCTCTGCCAGGTGATCTTCAGATCTACTTTGCAACAGAAGAAAGCACATTAGCTTTTTTAGATTTGAAAAAGGCAGTATTAATTAGTAACATGCAACATCGTTACACCCACCAGCTGTCTTTGGTTTTTATCAACTTGTAAATCTCTGTTTTGTTTTTTAAGGGCCAGTTCAGCATTGCTGCCAAGAGATGTGAAGTTTTCTTTTTCAAATGGTCTGAGAAAGCTGTACACCGAATACATTCTCAACACTTAATTTTCACAAAAGATTCATTTTTTTTGTGTGCATTTAGTAGAGTGTACATGTATTATATCCCCTGCTTATATATCAATCTCTTCACATAATATTGCTATCTTTAGTCTGGACTTCAGTGTTTGAAGAAGTCTGTCTGGAACAACTAAGACTTGCTTTAGTATGTGGAACATTTTGTCAAGATCCGTTTTCTAAAGGATGAACTGTTTTGATTATTTCTAAAACAAGAGATCTTAATAGGAATGTATATTCAAATGATACAGCAGATTTTTAAAAATATTTATTTGTGAAAAATGTATGCTGCTATAGGCATACAGGTTGTATTAAAAATGGTGTTTTATTAAGAAATGAAGCCTTTCCTTAACAAGGATGGAAATATTCTCCTAGGAATATGGGGACAGGCAGGTTTGTTTTTAATTCTTGTGGGAATCATTATAAACCAGTAACAAAAATGTGAATTGGACCTGCAGGAGCAAAGCTGTGCTAAGTGGTAACTGAACAGTAAAGTTTGGAATGTGTAGGAACTGCTCTGTTCCTTTGCATAAAGGAAAGCTATTTTATCCCTTACAGTCCTTTGATTTGTGTGTATATGTGTATATATATTTATAAACACAAACAGCTGAGTTCCCTGTTGTAACAGTTTCTGCTTCTTGACAGTTTTTCTGAATTCAGTTTGGTGCAGTAATTTGTAGCTTGTAGTTAAAATGCTTTGATACATATAATTTCATCTCATCAAACCCTGCATATCAGCTATTTTGTTTATTAAAAGAAACTCTTTATTTTTAGTGAATGAAATAACTGGCTTCCTTTAGGTTTGATTCTGTTCCACATGGAGAAATACTATAATGCCTGAGAGGAGGGTACTGTTATTCACGGTGCACCAACAGTACACATACCAGCTGCACATTAACAGACTAGTCCCTATTTTATTCTGGTTTTTGTACAGGCATACAGAAGACAGGGTATATTTTTACAGTGAGCATTTTTAATGGTTTGCACATGATTTATGACTAGCAGCACAAAAGCATTACAGCTGATCGTGGTAAATTATCAAAAATATGCATTGTCTTTGTAAGCTTGAACTTGTATGTGGAAGGGTGTTAATAAATATTTAACATGGACAGTGGGATTCGTCTTGCCAGTTTGTATACTTGCATCTGCCCTGGGGCATCCAGGGCTCCCTGCCCAGCGGTGGGTGGCATGAGGGAGGTGATCAGAGGAGTTGGTCTCCAGATGGATCTGCATCTCCTCCCTGGCCCTACCGGCAGCGGGGAGCCACCAGCAAAGTCTTCAGTCTCTCTGCTCCAGAAGTCTGGAGTTGGGTGAGATTATTTTTGTCACATGAGTCTAGAAAGGACATGCTGAAACAGAGCTGCTTAGATGTCCTGGCTGTGAGCTGAGTCACACAGGACCAGAAATGGCAGCTGAGGAGAGAGGAACTTCAGCGGAGTGTAATCCTAAATCCCGCGGATAAATGCGGAGAGCTCTATACAGGATCCGGAGGGACACTGAGACAGGTTTGCGGTTGCATTGGTTTTAATCAGAGTTTCTAACCATACACTTTGTACTTAGTATGTGTAATGCAAAAAAAGAAAAAAAAACAAAGATTTTTTTTTCTCATATGTAAAGTCATATGAAGAAACTCCCCCTGAATAAAAAGCATCCACTGGTACTAACAGGTACTGGTAGAAAGGAGACAGTAATTAAACTACATGCTGAACACAGCACGTAGATGTCTCACATAGCTCCTCTATATGTAATGTGTGCATTTTTTATCTCATAATCACCAGAATAAGTAGAGCCAACACTTGTAGATAGGAAATATTTATCTGGCACTTGACAGCTAATTGTGATTCAGAAGATCTGTGGAAATTTTGTTAAGGAGTTAGATTATTAATGTTTTGGAAAAATATCAGGATCAACAAAAATAAGCTTTGTATCGGCAAACATGTTTCCATATAGTAATTTTGGTATTAGCTTTTGGAAATAAATTTTTCTTTTTTTTTTTTTTTAGTGAAGAATGTATAATAAGAAAATGAGGGGGTTTGCAATGAGTAAGCCCTTGAAGACGTATATGAGATTGAAACTCAAATCAAATGGCTTATTCGAGGCAAGGCAAAAACATTCAGAGGCTGATGGTTAGAACAGTAGTAAACGTAAGATAAAAAACACATAAGCGTTACTTTTTTTTTTTTTAATGCAGTGCTGTAAGCAGCTCAAAGTGTCAAGTCAGGATGTTCTGATTACTTCTTATTGACAGTTTGCAAAGAAAAGTAAAACATACTGAAACATGAACAGCAGCTTTGGATTCTTCTCCAAACTTAAAAATGTGTTTTAAGAAAATAACAGCAGCTGAAGAAGTGAACACCTCTTTGTTACATTAGAAGGCAAATTAATCTTTTTTCTGAATGTAATCTTTCTTAAAAAAATTGTCTCATAAAATGTGTGACCCACAGTTTGTGTTCCAGTTTAATTTGAAAGCAAAAGATTGTCAATCTGAATCCTCTTAACCTAATATTTAGCTTACTACTTGTCTATTTTGTAGCTATTAATTTGAAGCCGGTTAAAAATCACCTAGTGTAATTCTGTTACAAGCAAAACTACTTTCTTAGTCTCCATGTTTTGAGCTTCATGTTTAAGAAATAGTTTGCAATTGTGATGAGAAATTTGTCTAAAAGTTCTAGGAATAAGTATCCTTATTGAGTTACAAAACTGATACTGTTATAATAATGCAGAAATGGAGAAACTAGTGTTTTAAAGTGCCAAAAGGCTTTGGGTACTTTGAGTCCCCTAATACAAGGGACTTTTGCTTCAAAATGCATTTTCCAATGCAGTTTTATGTTGTGCTGTGTATTATACTGCTAAATCTTGTCAGAGTGGAAAGCTAAGCTATAGGATGCTGCTGTAGTTTTTAGTAGTATATTAACCTAGTTCACCAGAACCTACAAGGTGGTAGAAGAGAACTCAGACTGTTAGCTCCTACAGAGATGATGCAAATAAGTAGCTTAGAATTATGTAATTGTTGAACAAAATTATACATATATATATATATATATATATATATACACATTTGAATAAAACTGCCTTGAGTAGGCCCTTACTAGCGGGTTGGGATTCTTTTATTTTTGGTTTTGAAGTCTATTAACAGTGTTCTGTATGAAAACAGAGAATTGGCTAAGCATTTTAAATTTAAAACCAAGAAATCCCTGATTTACAGCTGGATAGAATTTCCTCTTTTCCTAGAAGACAGCTTCTGCATTCTTACTTTGATTTCTTTAGAAGTACACTCTGTATCTCTTTCACCTTATTCCTACCATGATCTCCAGTTGTGAGATTAGAATAATTTTGGAGAAAAGCTGTAGCATTTTAATTTTGTCAATTTTGTAATCCTTTGAGATCTGCTAAAGCACAGAGGTATTATGGTAGAGGAATATGGTGATTTCAAAAAAGGCTATGTCCATTCGCTTCAAAGCACAGAAAACAAAACACTGTCATGATTTTTGGTTTTTTTTTTTGTCTTTCATCAGTAACGATGGATGTCCTTTTCCCTCTATACTTGAGTAGCACTCTGAAAGTCTCACCCTGAACCTTCCCATGTTATACGTGTGTCCCTAGGGCTGCACTGTTTTCTGAGGTCTTACTTTTTTTTCTGAGAAGTTCCTCCTACAGTGGAGATCTGGTGAGCTGAGAGGGCAGGGTCTGGGTCATCGGCCATCCCTTGAAATCACAGGGGAGAGGAGAGTGGCATGGTCACAGGAATAGGCCACTGGAATAGGAGGGTGCTGGCAACGCTGTCTTTCCTAAGCTCATTCCCGTTCCCCACTTTGAAGCATTAAGTGGAAGCCCACCTTGGCTGAGGATGGGGCAGGCAACCTTGCAGAGACTGTTGCCAAGATTTGCGAGAAACTTTCCACGGAAGCTGATGTTCCTCAGAGACAGGAGGAGACGTACTCCATGGGACACAGGAGATACAGCCAGAAACCTGTCTCTGTGAGGCTGGGCTGATCTGCCTCTCTTCTCACGGACCACAGAGCCCTGCTTTGTGTCAGCCTGGGCTAGTGGGCCAGGACTTTGCCAGGAGCCGCGACACATGGCTGGGCATGTAGGTCCACAGGGTTGGGGGACAAACTGAAAGTGCTGCAGAGGTGGAGCAGGTGCTGCCAGCTTTCATCTGCCAGCATATTCCAGCTTTGCATAATTCAAAGGTCAGTGCCTCAGGAGGTCATCAAGTGTGCAGACAGCTGATTTGAATTGACCAGTGCAAATTTGGGTACAGAAACCATAGTGCTGAAGTCTTTAGGACTGTCGTAGCATGGAAGAAGGAAAGCGAT